GGAGCCGCCTGGCTCTCGGTGCGAGCCCGAAGCGGGGCCTGGCGCGGCAGCGGTGCGGCGGGAGGAGCGGGGCCCGGCGCACGGGCTGGGCGCGGCCGAGGCACCGCAGGCGTGGGGCGGGCTGTGCTCCCCAGCACCGGGGCCGCAGCGAGCTGGGGGACGGAGAGGCGTAAACCACCTTTAGGCCCGCAGAGAGACGGGGCAGGCGCTGGCAGGCACCGCTGAGCGGGGGTGACCGTGGCGCTGCTCTTCGTAAAGAATTCTGAAGCGGGTGTTAATTAAAGAAGCCCCTCTCGGGGTGTGACCGCACACACAAAGCCAGTCGCGGTAGCAGTGGCGAGGTGAAGGGTAGCACGGCCGTGCGCGCTGGGGAGCGGCAGTGGCTGCTGTGCCCGGGGTGGGAGCGGGGACGGTGCCAGCGCCGTCGCGCAGGCACAGAGCCAGCTCCTGCTGTTTGTACCCGGGTTAACGGACACCGCCGTTACGGCGGCAGGCAGCTCCTTTGCTCTTGCGGGGGAATGCAAAGTCGTTTTCATCGGCGCGTGTCCGATTTGCGAAGCGGCTGCGAACCTTGACAAGACTTGGAAGAGAAGGCGGCCTCGGGAGCTTTTCATGAAAGCTGACTTCAGCAACAGCTGCCGCTAACGCGCTGCGTCTCGGCTGCCTTGAGGAAAAAAAACTGGCCCGAGACGGTCTGCTCCCTGCTGGGGTTTTGGGGCCAGCGTGAGGCTGCCGGGGCCGGGGGGAGGATTTCGCAGGGCAGTCGCCAGCGTACAGGCCCCTCGGGCTGGTAGTCCGGGGCGCCCGAGCCGGCGCACCCCGGCCCCGCGCCTCCGGGCCACGGGAGAGCGGCTGGACGGGCCCCTGCTGCTCCCAGTGCCCGTGGAGCCGCGTCGGCGGCGACGGACTTGCTCCGGCCCCACCGAGCGGGTGGGGAAGGCCTGCTGACCGCCCGGGGCGGCGGGTTCTCCGCCAACCCCGGGGTAGCGGAGCGGCCGGGGAGGACGAACGCCCTCCCTGCGGGCCCGCTTCGGCCGGACACGCCCACGCGTGTACCTGCTGGCATTAACCGGGGCCGTGAGCAGGCGCTGCCCCTCCTCGGCCCGGCGGGGGCGGGGCGGGGAGCGGC